CACACCCACGCCCCACACCCACACCCACACCCACACCCCACACCCACACCCCACACCCCGCACCCACACCCCACACCCACACCTACCTTCGTAACAAAAAAACTTGGTCCCGCACATGTCTAGTAAGTGATATGTCTTTTGACTGTTTTTTGTATTTTTTGAATATTCTTTATTTGCATGGCATGATTAGTCGTAGACAACGAACAAATATAGTATTATTCATGATCCGATGAAATGCGTTGGATGTCTTGTTCGATTTCGACAATACGAGGATGTGTTGCAGGTAACGAATGACGAAATATTGTGGCTACTTTTGTATAGAATAATAACGCTTGTTGTAAATCATCGTTGTCTTCATAAATAAGACCTATATTTTCTAATGTCATAGCGATATGAGGATGATGAGGGGGAAGAGATTTTTCATAGATTTTTAATGACAGATTAAAATGTTCCAATGCGAGATTATATTCACCTAGAGAACCGTACACGCTCCCAATGCTATTGTGTGCTGCACCTAAGTCGGGATGCTCGGGGGGTCGATGTTTTTCATATATGGGCAATGCCATTTTATGGTATTGGAGTGCCTCTGCATAATTCTTCTCTGCATTGTAAATATTACCCATATTATTGAAACATGTGGCTATACGTGGATGATCTTCACCGAAGTTTTGCTGATAAACAATCAATGCTTGACGATACGATTCGAGTGCTTTCTTGTTATCGCCTTTCTGTCTATAAACAACACCTATACTATTGTAGCTAGCTGCGAGACTAGGATGATTTAGTCCCAGTTTTCGAATTTTTATTTCCAGAGATTTATGATGCCACTCAAGACTCGAGTCGAACTTGCCTTTCGCTGATGCTACTAGACCGAGTGTATAATAACAAATGGCAATATCTTCATGATCATAAGGCAGTTCATTGAGCATACGTCGATAGTATTTCTCGGCATCATCAAATTTTCCCATTCTCCACAAAGAGTCCCCAAACGACAGAAGTCCTGTTTCTCCATCTTGATATTGTTTCTTCATGTACTCAAATAAAGTCTTAAAATCTTGATCATTTTCACTGGATAAAGTCATTCGAATAATCCAGATTCGATTTTCTTCCATATAAATATTTTCTAGTCGAAAGATAGAACCTAACATAATTAATACTTCTTGCTCTTCACTGAAATAACTAAGCGAAGTAACGTCGGCAAACGGTTTTGTTGTAATAACTTGAGCATCAAGATCAATCTCGAATAAAACTCGTACTGAATCATCTGATGAATCGTAATCTCCGAGCAGAAATAGTGCTAGTTGTCGATCGACACTAGTCGAAAGAAATGAGTTCATCGAGAGATATTGTCCGATCGATTGTTTCATTATTTCTAATTCTTCTTTCGATATTAATTGAGCTCGATAGACACGAATTGATGATGATAATTGATGTTGTTTCAGTTGTTGTCGAAGATCACGAAGAAAAAATCGAAAAAGAAAGAGTAAATCAATATTCTGTACACGAAGAGCCTTGTTTAATGTTCTATAGAGAAATGATTCTCTTGTGTACCACCATACAGCTCGATCAGATGAATAATTATGTTCAAAATCTAAAATAATGGCTAATGCAGTTGTATTATCCTTGTATTCTTCTTTGCACCAAGAGATCAGTTCATGTTTGTCTGTTGAAGACGCTTTCATTCGAAGAAGAACATCGATGAGTAATTGTGAATGAACGAAGTAACCATTGAGTTCTGTTGATGATTTCTCTTGAGTACTTAATGTATTGAATACGGCAATTGAAAGTGAATCTTCCATTTTATTATGAATTCTTCTGATTGCTTCGGATTCGATTTGATATAAAAGTTCGTCGAACTGCGTAAAAACACCTTTTATCTAAAATATACAATAAACAATGATGAACGAATTTCTTGTGAAGGAAGGCATGTTTGTAATAGCATTACTCTACATTGAAATTTTCGATCATTTTACTTGCAATAGAAAAATGTTTCTAATTCAATGCGAAGTAAAATTTAGTGGTTTAGCTCTGTTGACTTTCGAATGAATGGTAACAAATTGTCTTTAAACAGTTTCTTCTAGATTCGAAACTAGTACGGAACATTCATACACATTGGTAGTGAAAATTTCTTTATTTACGAAAAAACTAGTGGATATTAGTAGCATATCATTGATGCACGATGCAACAGTAGTTACCTTTTTGAATGGTTTAGTCCATCCTTCATTATCCTCCTTGTCTCTGCAATAGATGTAAATTGAAATGACCTGTCGAAGTTGATGAATACGGGACAACATCTTACGGCTCAACTTTGCACCTCCGATAAATATTACCTTGTCTTCCTTAAGTAAAGATCGAATGTATTGCTCACACTTGTTGTCATCTTCAAATACTTCCGAACGTTTAATCAATTTATAAAGATGTCTCTGTATATTGTGGTGTTCATTCATGTTGTTGATGTCAACATGAAGCCAAACAAGAGAAAATGTCTCGAGATTATTGTTCGTGCGTACTGCAGATGCACGAGTTGTTGTTGTCGACTCCATCGCATATTATGATTCTCGTTGCGAATATTGAAGTATTTTAAGAACAGAATGAAATAACTCTTATTTACTGAAATGACACAAAACACAAGGTAAGAATTTTTTTATTACTTGCATTGTTATCTTGATTTACATCCTTCGAAGAAAAGAAACAACGCTTTTCATTTATAAAGAACAAGTTCAACACATTACACGTTGCTTCCTTTCTATTTTCTTGATAACGTACAGACTCATGATTGCACATTCGCACATATTCGACTTGCGCACAACTATAGAAACTGGGCAAAACACGGTAGTTTCTAAAAAATTTCGATACTCTTTTTAAATCTCTGAAATCTTGAATTCATGGCATCACTTTAAGTGATCTATAGAATGTGCAGTACAAGATTAGAATTCTCGCCTATAACAAAACTATTTGCTTCAGAAACAACATTTGGCCATGCCATGTCTATAACCGTCATTAGTTATATCGTCAAGAAACGTTATAATACTAGACTTTTTGCAAAAACTAATTGTAGTCAAATACTTAAATACACCAGTGCGAAACTGCAATATTACTTTTACACCTCTTTAGCTTTGAATTGAACGAGCTAGAAAAGATGAAAGCGTTGCAACATCTACTGCAGAAAAAAGTGAAGACTCCATCAAACGTGAAAGCTTAGAAACGCGTGTAGATGCAGTATGATCGGTACGTGTACATGCATGAGTCGTTATGACATGACATACGTATGAATGTATCAGAGAGTAAACTATGTTCTCAAGTCTACGCATGAAAGTTTCCGCATGTACATGCTTAACATTTTCACATACGGAAACATACAAGTGTTTTTTTTAGAAACTCCCTGCGTGTGCATGCGAGACAGTATTAAAATGACCAAAAAATGAAGCATATATCACAGATATAGGGTGTGGGTGTGGGTATCATTTCCCTCTTTACTCACATCCACATCCACATCCACATCCATACATCTATACCCCACACCCACACCCGCACCCACACCCACACCCACACCCGCACCCGCACCCACACTCGCACTCACACACCTACACCTACATCCACACCTTTCATTTCTAACAGCATGCAGTATTACTCTGCAGTTTGCAAAAAAGGATGTTGATTCTTATCGAATATATTTTTATGCATGCTGTTTGCTTCGGCGAAGACATTGTAATCAAATATTACGCTTAGTCACCTTTATAAATACTCTCATTTGAGTGTATGTGTATAAAAAAAACGACGAAATTTTCAGGTGTCATGTGTTTCTGCGCTGAATAAGAAGACGAATTCACCAAGTGAGTTTGTGAGTTTTGCTGTTCCGTTGATGACTGCCATTAGCCACTTTACAGTTACTTATTTTTTCGATGAGAGTGAATACTATACTTGCAAGTATTTTACATAGCATGAGTTCTTTTTTTGTTAGATAATTATGAAAAGTATCTCAGAATATGACTCAAAAAAACATTACAAAGTCAAATCTTAACTACCAACACAAACAAATGAGTATTTTACAGATAAATCTGTTTGGATTAAGGATGCAGATAGATACGAATTTTATGTAACTCGATAGAGATTTCGATGTAGGTAGAAACACATGTTAGTTCATCAATGAAGACTTGAGAAGAAGTAGTGTTTTTAGAGTTATGCTGTATTGATGAGTCCCTAGAGACAGCGAAGATAGAAATCGATTGCACAAAATGATTAACCCGAAAAAGATATGCATGCATTAGTGCATTAGAATGATGCAAAAAGGATCGATAATACTATATGTTTATGCCGCTAAGAATGTTGATAAACTCTACGGCGTATAGATTAGCATAAAATTTAGTTTTAGATTATTGTTGAGTTATGCATTCATAGGCTACAGAGTATTGAATATATCAGAGAAACTTTCATTCAAAAGAAAAATAGTAAACTAATCGCAGAAATCAAGGAAAATTAATATGAATGAGGATAAATGCTGAACAAAGTTTCAACTTTATAATATATCATATTCTCAAACAAGAGTCTCGCAATAATTTGTGATGTTTGTCGTCAATTATCTATAATACAGTCGTTTTAAGAGGAATATCAAATTGTTCTAGACTAAAGATT